CCCCCCCCCCCCCGTTTTGCTTTTGTGACGTAGGCCCCTATCCCTTAACACGTAAAAACAAATCGGCGTAGCGCTCTCCTCGACCCCCCTCCCTCTAGAGCGTCACGTAATTTACGGGGTTGCCACAGTCAGGGAAAACCGGGAAATGTCAGGGAATTTTAAAAAGTCAGGGGAAACCAGGAAATGTCAGGGAAAATTTGTTAAATCACCTTCATTTGCTTCCTAGAATGGGTTTGAGATTATTTGAACAAGAAATATTGCCTGGAAACCATTTTCAATTACGCCGTCTCGACCATCCGTCACATTTTCATTTGTCAGGGAATTTCACCAAAATATGTCAGGGAAATCGGGAAAATGTCAGGGAATTCCATTTTCTAAATTCTGTGGCAACCCTGAATTTAGGGACGGCCCCTCATATCAAGCTTCGTCGTAACCCGCGCGAACAATGCTGTGAGAAACGGTTTTTTGAATCACCTTTATTCAGCGAATCGCCTCGTAATGAGCTGGTTTCTATATTTGCGGAAGTAGGAATGCGACGGATGGACCCGCGGCCGTTCTGTCGCGCCTGTGAGAATTATCACTCCAAAAATATCTGCTTATATCACCTCAGGTCGCGCAGGCGTTTCGTCGTCGCTCCGCGCCTCGTGCAGTGAATTTGCTTGTCGCTCCAATTGAAGGCGCTTTGTGATTCTTTCAATTCGCGATAGCCTGCTCGCGTGACGCTGTACTGTTGTACCGCGCTGTGCTGTGATCCGCCGCCGCACAATGGACCGAATCAATGGGAGAGGTCGTACATGAATTTTTTCACTGAAAGAGCAATTTTAGATGTTAATTTCGTCGAGTTTTAAATTCTGAGGGGTGGTTCTCAAAAACAAATACAAGAAAACCAATGAGACGATTTTCAAGACCTTAAAATTTTGTAAAAACGAAGTCGTGAGCTTTTAAAGTTTCCAAATTTTGTCCGACCTCTCCTATTGACTCGATCCACTGTACGCCGCCTCCGTGTCACTGTGAAACAAAGTTGCTGGCGGTCTGGAAAACCGGGGAAGTCTGCGACTTTTCGGCGACCGGGAAAAGTCAGTGAGAGCAGGAAATTCACACAAAAAATCAGGAAATTTAACGCGTCAGCGTTCAGCAGAAACGAGTGTAATTTGAAAAAAAGGAAAAGAAAAAATCAAAGTGGAAGCTTCATTTGATTTTCAGGAAAAGTCAGGGAATTGGAATATGAAGAGTTTATGGCAGCCTTAATATTGGAAAAGGGACGTAATTTTCGTTATTGAATTTTCCTCAAAATTTTACTAATGTAACTCAATTGCACTGAATTATTCTGCTATTCAAGACCCCCTCCCCTCTCCTTACAATATACAAGGGCTTTTGGAGACCAATGAATGCTCATGCCCAGAAAGTGCGTTTTATTATACGAAACAGACGCAAGTCCTCATTGAGTTCTGCTTGAGAGCTACTCCCACTGATTTATTGCGTAAAATGGTACCATTTTCCGCAAAGGCCTGACCTGAAAATCTCTTCGTCTTTTGTTGAAAACGTCACGCATGCGAAAATTGGCGCACACGACTATCTTAACATGAGATAACTCTCTTTTTCAAATTTTTTATTGAAGAAACTCCTTACAGAGGATTGTTTCTGCCTGACTCCTACTTCAAAAAATGTAAAAAAAGCTTGACGTCATTTACGGACGGCACCCATGCCGCCGCGCCGTGCTAAAGAAATACACCGTATGAACCTTCAGGCGTTGCCAAATTTCCTAGAATTTTTTCTAACATATTTTTTCGAATTTTCAGATAATTTTGCTCGCAGTTTCATCACCGTAGGCTCCTGAATATTTCAAGGAGAAATATTAATAACTTTCCTCAACAATAAACATTTTATCGAAGTAAATTTGACAACACTCGAATGTTCATGCGGCGCACAGTGGATCGAGTCCATCCGAGAGGTCGGACGTGAAAATTTTGACTAAAACTGCAAATTTTGATGTTTATTTCGTCATATTTTAAATTTCAAGGTGTGCTACGGGAAGAAAATTATACGAGGAAACCACTGGAACCACTTTTAGAACCTCAAAATTGTGTATAAACGGAGCTATGAGCGTTTTAAGTTTCCAAATTTTGTCCGACCTCTCCTTTCGGTTCGATCCACTGTGCGGCGTTTTTCCTCAGAACGGTATCATAGTATGGCTGAACATGTATGTGTATGTGTCGGGTGAAGTTAAAAGAGGGTTTCTGCTACGATCTGCAAATTATGAAGAGGGCAGATGCGTGTCTGGAGGTTGTCCTCTCTCAGCAAAAAAAAACAAAAAAAAACACACCCTCACACACTAGTGGTGTTTAATTAAAAAGGGCAGCTCTAGAAAAATGTTCTCTCTACGATGCAAGTTGAGGCTACGGAGAGGATCGTTGAACGAAGAAGAGAAGCACGCAAAAAGGGAACTCTTGATAAGTTCCTGGGGTGCCGTTGTCTCTTGTCTGCCAACTTGAATAGAAGCCCCCTTAGGACAGGGTCTCCCCATGACGGAACCAGTGGCGAGGGACGAATCGATCATCGATATTTCCCCATTTGAAGCGATGGTAAAGAATCGACTATTAAGGCGCTCGTCGCGAAAACCCTTCTTATCGATTCTCTTCTATAGGTTTAAATGGCAGGTCAATCGATATATCGCAAGGCACGCACGCCGCACCACTGGACGAAACCCCCCTTCCTTCTTTCTTCTGCCGTGATAGCGAAGAGAGCCGTAAGTGCAAAAATGAAGTTCTGAGAAAACGGGCTCAGACGCTTCTGACCGGAACATTTTATTGAAAGAAGCCTCCGCTCTTGGTCAAATTGCCACTAATCGTAAGACTCCTAGAAATTGTATGGATGATTAAAAATCGACTGATTTTATTTCCATTACATAAAAAGGGTATTTTTCATTTTCATGCTAGGTTATTGTTAGGCAAGACAGCCGTAAGTGCTACCATCTGCGTGCTTTCGTGGTTGCGTTTTGGACGCACAACAAACACATTTTCAGGTTAGAAATTGGCAGAAGAGGGCGGCACCTCACTGGAAAGCACTGTTTTCATTGGCTCTCATGCACCTGCGGTTGTCTTGAAAAAAACTATGTCATTATTTTGTGCACTTACGGCTTTCTCATACATCTCGTTTTCATTAAATTAGGATGAATTTTGCCGTTTTAGCTGTCTCAGTAATTTCATCCAAAAGAGTTTAGACGAATTTTGAAAAAAAAAAAACTCGATTTCGAAAATTTTGCACTTACGGCTCTCCTCGCTATCACGGCAGTCTTGTAACCGTATTCGGACTCTTGACAGGACGAGTATTTTGCATGACGTCGAGGTGACAACAAACTCGTTAAAACGGCGCGGCCCGCGGGGTGGCGCAATTTTGACTTTTTAGAGCATGAAACGCCCATACTCTGTTCTATTGAGGAGCGCATCCTTGGCTGCCTTACAGTTTCCGCCCACGCTTGCAAAACTCCCAACACTTCTGAGCGCTCACCGTGGAATAAAGGCACAGCACCAGGGCCGGGTATTACTCCTGGCCTTTCATACGCAAAACAAACTATCAGTTTTACATGGTAAGATTGGAGCGGATCATGCCATTTGAGATTTAACTGGAATATTCTCTAATCTCTTTTCAAACTGCCAAGACAATTTTTTTGACGTGTTTTGCCTTTTTGACACTCGCGATCGAATTTTTCAAAAACAGTAAAAGCTGTTACTGTATTTTTGAACATCGATGTAAAAAACTACGCTCTCACCACGACTTTGACTGTTCGTCAAATATTCGTCGAATGTTTGACGAATAGTCGAAGGCGTAGTGGAAGCGTGAGTTTTTTACTTGTTTTCCCGTGCAGATTTGATCGCTAAATTCAAAATCGACCTCGGGTTTTCAGCAGCTCGTGCCAATTTCTTAGTTACGCCTGTTTTTTAAACGAAAATTTTGATTTTCCCAAGAATTAGGTGTGGCAGGAGGAAAACTTTGATCATTTTCGAATTTTTCATTTAAAAAAACGAAAGGATAAACGAATGACCAGCGTTTGAAAATGACTTCAGACCTGTATTATTTTCTTTACATGAGCTTTTCATTTGCAGACGATGGTCCGGCTAGCGAGGACGAAGATGAAATAGAGGAAGTTTCTGCTGATCAAGTTAAAATCCACGACAATACCCCGCAAACTTATATCATAGAACCCTTCAAAGGCATTCTCAAGGTAAGATATTCAGAACTTCAGAAATTCTTTTGTATCACGCTCCTCGCATTGATAAATTGAAGACTTCGTCAGCCTGTGCTTAACCCACATGGTGGGAATAATGGGAATCAATTCCGAAAAAAATCACTCCTACTTTTTAAGTCGCAAAATTATCTTACCCATCCGTACGGAGTGACTTTGAGGAAGTTGCGTCCCGGGAAAACGTTTCAAAGTACTGCAGTGTCCCTCGGCACGCATCCTACAACGTTGACCAAAGTGGATATTTTACGCAAAATGGCGATGTTGCATGTGTGAGGGATTTGCGATTTGACCCTTGATTCTTATGTAAAAGTTCGCGAGAAACACGATGGTGCCGCTAGTTTTCTCTGAAATCATCTCCCAAGCTCAGAAAAAGCTCTCAAGTTGAGGCCAAAATGGAGGGGATATCCCACCCTACCCTGAGAGTCCACCTCGACATCAAAACAAACTCTCCATGCAAAGATAGAGAGCAAATAATACATTAGCAGGGTTGCCACTTTATTTGGGGACTCCAAAACTGAAAACACGGCAACCCTGCTAACGTATTTGCTCCCTATCTTTGCATGGAGAGTTTGTTTTAATGTAGAGGTGGACTCTCAGGGTAGGGTGGGATATCCCCTCCATTCTGGCCTCAACTTGAGAGCCTTTTTTGAGCTTAGGAGATGATTTCAAAGAAAACCAGTGGCACCATCTTGTTTCTCGCGAACTTTTACATAAGAATCAATGGTCAAATCGCAAATTCCTCACACATGCAACATCTCTATTAAACTGGGGAAAAGTGTTGGTTAAACAGCCCAATCTGGCAACAATGGAATGGTGCTTATGCCGAGTGGTGCACGTGCATCGTGCACCACAGTCCCCGGAGCAGACAGGACCTGGACTCTTCCCATTGCGAGAGCTTAGAGTACCTTTAGAAAGCGAGTATGGACTCTGGGTCTCCTTAGGATAAAAAAAGTGGTGAAAACTCAAGGCAGAAGCAAATGAGAGATTTTTGCCAACCTCTGACGTATGCCAGCCAATTCATCTGTTACCAACCAGTGAAAAAGGAAAGTTCGTTGTTCTATATTATCCCAGTTCGTCTAATACGCGAACTTTCGGTTTGTCAAACCGAACTTTTACAATTTTATCTCAATAAAATCGCGTCCAAAATTTTATCTCAATTTACAGTTTTTTGTTCGATAATATTGCGTCAAATCGCCGTCGATGAATCGCCTTTTTCATGCTGTATGCGATGAAATGACAATTTATCGCAATTTTTTATCCGATATTCACAATAAAATCGCGATACATTATCCGATCTAATCGCAACTTATCGCAATCGCTGCTGCTTGGGTCGGGTGTTTGAATAAGGGAATGGCATATTTCGTTTCAATTACCGTGGCTAATAGGGGTCCAAAGAGCCCAAATCTGGTCCTACTTGAAGCTTCAGACGGTTGAGCCAATCAGAAGTGGATCCGCCAGTGACGATACTCTTGGGCAATGTATACCTGGAGTCTTGAAGATTTTGAACGATTGGAGAGTTCCTAAAATTAGGCTTTTGGGGGCCATGGGACCATTGAAGTTCAAGATTTAGGGCTCTTAATGACCTTTTGGAAACTTGAGATTTGGAGAGCAGGATTTCTGTGGGCCCTGTAGACGACAACGTCTATGAACTCTTGACCTCTTGTCTCACTATTTTTTCTGGTTCTTAAGAACGATGTTTTGTTGGGGTCAGAGAGTAGTTTTTTTAGAGGGAGAGGGGGCGAAAAAGAATCAATAAATTTAAGTGAGGGCGTTAAGGCGTTCGGGACCTTCTGTTTTCTTGGAACAATGCACTGCCTTCAATTTCCAAAGTATGTAATCCGGAATGTGCGGGCTCTTTTACCCGCGAGCATCTCGGGCCCCTGAGCGCTAATCCGGCCCTGACTCCAAGCAGTGGCGAACAGTGGCGAGGCGTGAATGATCGATTATCGATTTTTCCCCATTTGAAGCTATGGTAAAGAATCGATTATTAAGGTGTTCGTTGCGAACGCCCAGTTCGTCGATCCTATACATAGGTTTAAGTGGCAGATCAATCGATATATCGCAAAGCACGCCACGCCACTGGTGGCGAAACGTGGTCATCGATATTTTCTATTTGAAGCAACGGTGAAGAATCGATAGTGCTCCTTGCGAATGCCCCGATAAATCGATCATTTTCCATAGAATCAAGTGGCAGAAGATGAATCGCTTCATCGGGGAGCACGACGCGCCACCGAATGGCACGATTCACCCGCACACTGCAGTGCTAAGGAAGAACGCCGTATGAGCCCTCAGACGTTGCTAAACCTTCGACAAATCTCGAATTTTCGGATGAATTTTAAAATATTTTTCTTCCGATTTTTCAGAGAATTTTGTTCGTAATGGAGATTTTACATGCAAATTGTTTATTGCTTCATCTGTAAGTGCTTAAAGAGCTGCATGCTTCCGCAGTATTTTTCATATTGTTTTTTCTAATATGGGAAATAGTATAAAAATAGATTTAACATTGAGAAAATGCTCCGCCTAGTGGCGTCATCTGGCGGCATTTCCCATTTAAACACATGTATTTTAGCATGCAAGACAATTTTTTCATATCTCCTCGAATAATCGTTCAATTTAAGAACCAAGGATATTTTTTCGTTCAATTCACTCAGTAGTTTACTTTTAGACACGACATTCATCAAATTTCAGACACTTGCAAATTGGTATTTGGAGTGTAGCTGAGTGCTAGGAATAATGTAAAATTTTCTTTGAAAAACTTACATTTTAATAACAAACTTAGACCGAAGCTTTTCAAAATAAACGCTCCATCGTCAGGTTACCATCAATGAAATCTGTTACCCTGTTTGAAATTAAATTATGGCCTTTGTGATATCGATTTTGTGACCCTGACGATGAAGCGTTTGCTTCTAAAAGCTTCGGTCTAAGTTTGTTAGTAAAATGTAAGTTTTTTAAAGGAAATTTTACATTATTTCTAGCATTCGGCTACACTCCAAATACCAATATATTCAGTGCTACTACCTTTCAGACATCGTATTATAATGTTCGCTGATTTTGACTTGCAAATTCTCCATTTCGACGGTGAAAGTCGGCAATCACATAACTCGATTTGCGACGTCGCAGACTTCCTGTCATACTTTATTCTTTAAACGAAAAACTACTCAACGGTAATTCCTTAAAGCTGCCGTGATTTTTCTTCTATGTGCGAGGAAAATTCTGCAAAAACTGCAAGGAATCATGTCAATTTGTTCTCCTTTAAAAAAATAACATAGTTGCGGAGATTTTCAGACACCGCAAACGAGTTATGTGATTGCCGACTTGCACCGTCGATTTGTTCTAAAACTTGCGAAAACTTTAAAGAGAAATATTCATAACTTTCTTCAGAAGTAGGTATTTTCTGAGAGGAAATTCGGCAACACCTGAAGGCTCATACGGCGTTTTTCCTTAGCACGGCAGCACAGGGGAAGACACCGCAGCGGCATGCGGCACCGGCCGGCGCGGCACCGCGTCCGAGTGGAAAGCGATGTTCATCGGGAGCCCAACAGATAGCGCGGGACACGGTATTTCCGTAATACTGAAGACCGCAAGCACGTGAATAGTTTTTTCCCCGCAAAATAGGTTGACTCAGGCAAAGCTCAAAACAAGTCAGTCAGCTGTCGACCCATCAGCCAGTTGCAGTCGGCTTCGCGCACGCTCTCGCATCCGCGGAATTTTACACACGCCTGATTATTTTTTTTTTATTTTTTTTCCTTCTGATTTTCGGTCCCTTTCGTGGGCCGGTGGTGAAATCCCTCATGGCGTCTTGAACGGTTGTGCGTCAGTGAAGTGTGCGTGGGTGTCGCAAGTTCTCTCGTTTGTTGAAAGTGATTATCATGGCACTGACCTGTCGTGTTCAGTACTTGAATGATATAGACCCTTTCACTTATTCCACCATCAATTTTCCGGAACCACCGAGACCACCTGTACATACCTTTTGTTGTAATTTGCCTTTGATCAATCAGATTGCTTCAGTTCATCGCTTGCTCCACGCTCCGCACAGGGTAAATGATAATTTCTTCTCGTCATTCCCTTGTATTTTCTTTTCATATTTTCGCGCTTTTGCGGTGCCGCGCACTTCCGTCGTAAGGTTAAATACCGTATGAACCTTTAGACGTTGCCAGATTTCCTTCAATGAGAACTGAATTTACTGGAAGAATTTTGAATATGTTTCTTCAAAATTTTCAGACAATTTTTCTCGCAATTGGGTCTAAAATATCTGAAAATGTCAAGGAAAAATATGAATAACCTTCCTAGAAATTGAGTTTTTCATTCCAGGAAATTTGGGAACTCTCGAATTTCCATAAGGTCTTTTTTCCATAGCACAGCGAGTTTTGCTGACCTTAAGAATGTTTGGGATTTTTTCAGTCGCAGATCTCGTGAAAAATTCTCCCAGCTGAGGAAACATGTCGATTGTATGGTATGCCACCTCAAAGTGTCATAATATCATGACGTTTCTGGGTAAGGGATCGGCTTGTACTTTTCTTTTCCCTATTTTTTCAAAGTATACTCGTGTTAGTTGAAATATGTTTACGAATTATGAGTGCTCAATTACACGCCTGTAATGAGAGTCCAGTTTCGAAAATTGAAAAACTCTGCAAAAAAAAAGAAAAAAAAATCATCCAAGCGGGGGACTCGCGTTACAGGGAGAGGGAGGGGGGTGTCAACAATGCCAGGAAAGTGCGTTACGTAATTTAATGACCGCTACCTCAGGTGAGGTCTCAGTTCTTCTGAGGAAAAACTGTCGTGTTGGTCATTCGTATCAGAACCGCTGCTGACTGGAAGGGAAGACATGTTCAAAAAACGGCAGGCAGGATGACACTTTTTCCTCGCGGATTAGTGAAGTCGGGTTGTCCGAAAAAAAGCTGAGTTTTCCTAATAAGACCTCCACACTGAGGTTGCAGGTCTGCACTCCTCTCCGCTTATCCATCCCGTGGTTTTTAATC